TCCAGAGGTAAACATTTCTGATCCAAAGTAAATAAATTGCCTTTGGGGCTAGGCAGAATCTCATGAGAATAAGTAACTGCAACCAAAAGCAGAGCCAAGAAAAATGGACAACAGCAGAAAAGGTTTTCCCCAACTTTTCAATATGAAAATTCTCTAAAATGAAAGTTGACAGACTAGTACAACCAGTATCTATATATCCACCACACAGATACAACACCTGTTTCTATTTTGGCATTTCTATGTATGTATGTATCCACTCGATCTGTGTGTGTGGCTGTGTGCATTTGTGTGTGTTTTGAATCATTTGAAAGTGAGTTCCTGATATCATGATAATTCACCCCTAAATATTTCAGCATGCCTCTTCTCAGATTGACGTTCTCCTATATATTCTCCTATTATTGACAGAATAATAACACCTAGGCAAATTAAGAGTAATTCCATAATATTTAATATTAGCCCACATTCCAATCTCCATTCTCATCCTAAGAATTAAAGCACTGTGTTTGATTGCTATAGCTCTTTAGGCTCTTTTAATACAGAGCAATCCTCCCTCTTATTTCAATGACAATGGCTTTTGCATGTGTCTAGCCTCTGTCTAGCAGGGACAGCAAACTGAACTTGCCATCACACTTAGACTGGAGGACAAAAGTCCCAGCTCCATCCCCCCACCGCACTTCACCACCCTTAGTCACTTGGCGGCGCTGGCCTCTGTGCTGCTCCCAACACGCTAACAACACGCCCAGCTCAACACCTGCTCCTGATTCTTCCCTTCTTGGAATGCTTTTCTCCCCCATATCCCGACGGGTGCCTTCCAACCTCCTGCAGGTCTCTGCTCAATAAAACCTATCCTGAACATCTTAATTACAACTATAAACGGCCTTCCCCACCTTATTGTTTCTTCGCAGCGTATTTCACCATCTAACTTTCTAGGCATTGTGTTTCTTTTGCTGATCGTTTATCCCAGCGCCTGGAACATACCCTCCTCCAAGACAGGGTCTTTGTGTGATATGATCATTGCTGCATCCCTGCTCCTATATGAGGACTGGACTCTACTCAGTCAACAAGTATTTATTAAGACCCCCTGCTGTGCTCCAGGCACTGGCAGAGCAGGAGGACCTGCTCAAAGCTGGCCCAGGCTGGCTCTCCAGCCCCCGATGCCCCAGCGCAGTGGCGAACCCACTGCCCAGCATTCAGAATGGCTCTCAGAAGTCAGGTGAGGCCCTGGGGCAGCGCACATCAATTCTTGAGCCCCAGCATTTGCTTGGAGGTAGGACTGACCCTACATCTCACCCCTGTTGTCCCACTGTTCCCCACATGAATCCCATGGCTGCCTCTGCAGGTCTCTGAAAATGTACCTGGGCCTAACAACTCCTCAACGTGTTCCAGTCAGAGCACCCATAGCAAACTTGCCCGTACCCACCCCCAAAGGACCACTTCACCGGTTCCAGTCACCCACCGTCCCACTTGTTTTCCTTGAGGCCACTGCAATGATCTAAGACACACACATGGCCAAATCATTATTCAGCTCAAAATACTTCACTGGCATTCTTCCTTGTCCAGGATTAAATGTAAGCACCTAGCCTGATATGCACACAAGACCCTTCTTAGTCCTTCCCACTACCACCTCCCCCACCCCCATCTCCTGCCACGCCCCACCTCACATTTGACACCATTAAGTTACTTTTTAGTAGTTTCTGGAACATCCATGCTCCTCCCACCATGTACTTACTTATCTTTGTGCCCAGCATGCCCACCCATCACCTCCCGTCTTTGTCCTGGCAAACTACTCTTCCTTGAAGTCGCAACTCAAATGCTACCTCCTTTGAGAACCTTTTCTGACTCTGTAGGTGAACTTGAACACTCTCTTCTATTTATACTCACACGGGGCATTCTGCCTAAAAAGAAAATCACTTTAACAGTGGCACCCTCCCATTTCTAGTGTCTCTGCCTGCCAGCCAGGTCTCACTGCAGGCCTGCAACACATGCCCTATGAAGGGGCTTGGGCCTTTGCATCCTCCTATCCAGAGAGTCTCTGGCAAAATACCAGGCACTTAATAAATTTGTACGACTTGGTCTAAGGAGCTATTTTGCCCTGGGCAGAGCTGTGTTTAGGGTCTTAAGGATCAGAGTCAGTGACCCTGATCTTCCCTATTCTGATTTTATGGCTCAGGCCTAGAGTTAATGGTAAATGTCCTCATTGTTTCGGTTTACTGAAACATCATGTAAACCCAGCATCAGGCGGCTGTTTGACTGGCGACAAACAATTCTGCATTCCAGAGCATGCTGACCCTGTGGCCAGTTTGTTTTGTTTGCTTTTCACTAACAAAGAGGCTCTCATTTAAAGTTCTGAAAGTTAAACCACATTCTATGTTCCATCTTGCCCTCCCTCATAAAAGTGTGAGTGTGTGTGTGTGTGTGTGTGTGTGTGTGTGTGTGTGAAAGAGAGCGAGAGACGGAGACAGAGCTGTGAAATCAGCATGGCAGCTAGGCTTCAAGCTCTTATGCCCTGACCCAAAAGGACGGTATAAAGCACATGGGATGAGGCATCAAGTCCAAAAGTCCCATGGTGGGCAGTCACTAGACTTAGCAGACCACCTACTTCCAAAGTATTAACAAATATGGACCACATCCTCACCAGTTCTCCACTCCATTTTATTTCCCTCTTAGAGTCATTACCTTCTTCACCCGCCTGAGTCCACACAATTATATGTGCCTAACATTCTGGTCATGGTTAATACTCAATGAATGGCAGTGTTAGGATTTCTCTAAGGAGTTGAGACTAATTTTCCACAACCTAAGAATCTTCTATATGGCAAATACACTTTCTGTCATTTCTATCTACAACATACTCACATGGCTACAGTATCACTTGATGTTATCATTTATAAATTTGCAACCATTAGCCTACCCCATAGAAGAATGGGTATCCATGGTTCCATGCAGTGGGAGTACACAAGGACTCAAAGGCTGCTCGCATACTCATACTTAGACTTTACAGACTTCAGGCTAATGGTGAGTAAGCATTTCCGGCAGGGTCTTGAGACTCCTTCCCCTGGCTGCTAGCATTGTTTTACTTTGTCTGGTTTGAACCAAAGCCAGCTGAATCTCCTCCAAGTTCCAGTTTTGGTCAGATCTCGGGAGACAGCCTGTCTGGTTGTTTAAAAACAAATATCTACTTGCACATCCACCCCAACCTGATATGGCAGATCACTGATGCCTTGTGACCGCACCTGTGTCCCCATTTGTGGTGGTGGGAGGGGTAAGGACATTAAGTGCTGGGATCTCCACAGCTGAGGTTACCAAAGTACAAACAAGAGGTCCTGCGAGCAGACAGTGAGGCTACAGAGCCCGTTACGCTCTTACACAACCAGTCTCTGCCGCCAGGCACCCATGCTGTCTTCTCCTTCCCCTGTTTACTCATGAATGTCTCCTTTCGTGGCCTCAAAGCACGTCTGATTGTCTGCCACTACCGAGTGAGCCTACAGTGGGCCTACCCCTGATCAGTGTGCTGAAAAGACAGGAGAGCACAAGAAGAGGGGAGTCTTCACTCCCAAGGAGTTTATAATACAGAGGTGGAGACAAAAAATACACCGACATGAAAAATGGAAAAGAGATCTGGGATTATTGTATTGCGTACACAAAGAAGGGGCCTTTTGCTCACTAGGTTTTACTGCAGTGAGTGAGATCACCCTCAGAATGGCATGTAAGACCTATCCATCAAGGGGGCAGAGGCAGGGGGGATTGGATTCAGCGCTTGAAATAATCCACTTTCAAAACATTTAACATTTAACATTTTGGAATTCAATTATAGTGACGTCAAATATTTTTCATTGAATTACAATTTGACTTTTAGTGAAAAACCCCTCGTCAAATTTACCATTTAAAAATTTTGTTTAAATGTTTAAGAATATGTATATTTTATTAACAAAAGCTTTTCTCCTCTCAATCTGTGCCAACCTCCCTAAGTCTGCCCATCTATCTATTTACCTGTGTTTCTTCTTCTACCAGGAAATGCAGAGCAAATTCTAAGGCTAATCTCCAAACACTAATATAACAGGGGCATGTGGTAATTAATATTATAAACAACGCAGTAAAGAGGCAGGTAGGTGTGGTAGAAAGAGCCTGGGTATCAGAGAAAGGAGGCTTTAATTTGAACGTGCCCCTTTCTCATTAGGTGAACTTGGAAAAGAATAATAATCCTTATTAGTTGAAGGATTTTATCTCATAAGTTTTTTAATAGGAAAAATATTAATGTACATAAAAGATCTAGCACAGTGTTACATATGTTATTTTAAGCTGCCTTGTACATTTTGAGAATTAGATAGAAATCATTAAAAACCCATTTAACTCCTGTTTTTAAAAGTTAGTGTTTTCAAAAACACAAGAAACAAGTGTTGGTGAAGATGAAGAGAAAAAAACAAAACCTATTGCACCGTTGGTGGAAATGCAAAATGGTGCAGCCACTACGGAAAACAGTATGGAGATTCCCCAAAAAGTGAAAAATTGAATTATCATATGACCCAGTAATTCCACTACTAGATATTCATCCAAAGAATTAAAAAACACTAATTCATTGAGAGATGAATGGATAAAGAAGAAGTGGTATATATACACAATGGAATAGTACTCAGCCATAAAAAAAAAATGAAATCTTATGATTGGCAACAACATGAATAGATCTAGAGGGTATAACACTAAGTGAAATAAGTCAGTCAGAAAAGACAAATACCGTATGATTTCACTCAAATGTGGAATTTGAGGAACAAAATAAAAAAAGAGAGAGACAAACCAAAAACCAGACTCTTAACTATAGAGAAAAACCGGCAGGGGCATGGGGGAAACAGGGGAAGAAGATTAAGACTACACTTACCCTGGTGAGCACTGAGTAACATACAGAATTGCTGAACCACTAGGTTGTACATCTGAAACTAATATAACACTGTATGTTAACTGTATTGGAATTAACATTTTTTAAAAGTGTTTATTAATAACTGTACTATCTTTAAGGATGAAATTGTGCTCTCAGGCCTCCCCCAGAGACTTGTGATAACCAGAACACCTGCAATGAAACAGGTTCATCAAAGTTGGGTATGGTTTACTGAGTATTAGCTTTGAAGAGGAATTTGTGTTTGATGGAGGTTTAAATTAGGAGGATTATGTTCTGACAGAAAATGAAGAGGACATGAGGAGCAAATGAGTGAGACTGGAAGGACAGAAAAAAGCTGGAGACAAGGGAAATCAAATCAATCAACTCAAACAGAAACCCTCGAGTCCCTGTGAAGAGACCGCATGGTAGTGTGGAAAGCTCACAGGCTTGGTAATCAGCTGCCTCCAAATTCCTGGTCAGCCACTGGTACTTGTGTGGCCCTAGGCAAGGCACGTAACCTTTCTGAACTTCTACGTCTTCACAGCAAAATCCCTGAAAAATACCTATCTAGCATGAAAGATTATGATCTGTGTAAAGTGCATGACACAATACCTTGTCCACAGGGATGTGTAATAAATGCCCTATTATTACCTCTTAGTTATCATTTGCTATTGGAATCCCCTGGCACCAGTGTGAAGCAGATCCCTAAGAAACTAAAACTAGCCAACTGTCCAGCCAATACAGGAGCAGACACTGAGCTAGAAAACAGACCATTCGAGAAGAAAAAAAAAATCTTTTTGTAGCCATAGCAAGATCAACCAAGAAAAAAAAGGATAATATTGGAATATTATGGGAAAACGTTTTGATATACCCACAAGGAATAAGTTTTGGGGGACTTGGTAGCTAAGTATCAGGAAACCAGAGTTCACTAGCTTCATCTTATGACCCTTGGTAAGTGCAGCCATGTCCCAAAGCAGAAGTCCCCAGAGGAACCAGAGAGAAAGAAAGCTGGGCTACCAAGTTAAAATTATAGACATCCAATGAAGAAATTCATAATTTATGTACCTGATATAATAGCAACAGATGACACCCTTTCTGTGGAGGAGATTAACATGCTGTCTTGAGAGGTGGGATTCCGGCCACTGGAAAGGGGCATCCAGGTGGAGCCAGCGAGGTTCTCCTTCTCCCAGAGCACCTCCATGATGGCCCATGGCACAACATGGTCAACAGCAGAAAGACGGTGCTCAGAGACTGACTTAAAGACCAGGAAAAGAGGTAAAACTGCAACAGCTGGGACCCACAACATTCCTTAAGAATTTCTCTGCAAAAGTTTCACTTCCTGCAGGGGCTGAAGAACAGGATCATTTCAGGAAAGATACCCCATTCCTGGGTCCTGGATGCCAGATCCTGGACAGCAGCAGCATCCTACAACACACAGGAAAACAGCAGAGTGTAAACCATCAGCTCCGGAATCATTTAAAGTACTAACACCATGTCCTAAATCCTGCAAAATAAGAATAAATATATCGTATGCCTGATAATACAAGGCCTCCCTGTGTTCTCTGAACAGTTCTACTGTATTCAGCCTACAAATATATATTCTAGCTATAAGGAGTTTTAAACACGTAACTGACAATAATTATCTTCTTAGAATTCAGGGGAGTTTTTTGAGGCAGTGCTACAAATGGCCTAGCTCTCCTAACACAAACCAAACAAACACGAACTCTGACCCAAGAACTTTATACAGCTGCCTTCTGATTCTGGTCACATATGTTAAATTAAACAAGGAAGCCATTAGACTGAGGTGGCTTTAATGCCTTGGTAGCCTAGTGAAAAAACCAAAACCTAAGCCTGTAAATGCCTCAAGGTTAAGAAACTGAAACCTAAGGACAAGCAATCACAAACAGCCAACTGGGCTTCCCAAGCAAGACAACCACTTATGCTTCAGCCAAACTGAATCATTCCTTTGCTTGCTTCCCCCGTCTTCTCTTTGAACGTCTCTCCTCTGGCTCCCAACTTCTCTAGCGTGTCTCTGCCCAATTAGAACCTCTATTTACTCAAGTAAACATTTTAATATGCCTCAGTTTATCTTTTAACACATTCAAACTCAGTCCTGAATACCATTCTAGCTTAAGGTCATGTCCTCTGACATTTAAAAAGGGAAATATTTTAGAGATCATCTGGCCCACCCCACCCCACTCTCACCCTGTGACCACTTAAAATAAGGGAACCAAGACTCAGGGAGGCTGAGGGATGTCCAAGATCATAATGATGCTAATGTTGATCCTTCCTTCTGTGAATGCAGACCAAATGATTTTGAGACTTAACAATATCCACATAGATCACTCCTCCCAGCACGTATGAGTGACCAATGCTACTCAGTTATGATAGAAAAAGTGAAATGAAAGTTAAGTGATGTGTCATGCCCTCTCACGTGACAAATCTATTCTGTGGAAGGCTGCCACAAACAATGTGAACGTTCATATCAGACCAGGGAAAATTTAGAAACAGGAAGTGTGCCCAGTTACATGAAGCTTATAGTGATAGCCCTCCAAGTAATTCATAGAGAAGCATTTTTAAATTATCATTTTTATAGGGCTGTATTTTTAAAATAGCTTTAAAAATATTTCACCAAAATGATTATTTCACAAAATGTCTAGAAGTCTGAAATCTAAGTAGAGCTTCCTCTATTTCTTCTCCTCCCCCTCCCACCCCAAGCCACCACCATCAGTCCACACTCCACTCTGGCTCCAGCATGACCCTGCAAAATCCACCATTGTGATGCTCACCCTGTTGGCCTCTGGACAAATCATTCTGGTTTGTCCTTATGTCCTTCTGCCACAAACCAGCAAGTCCCTCTCTGAAGCTTACTGGTCCTTTTGTTTGCCTTGAAAAGACCTACTTCTTCATCCTCTATATGCCAACAGCAAATGGATTCCATGTTGCAACCTAAACCCTACTCAAATGTGTACAAAGGAGTGAGTGGGCCATCCAAGCACCTACAAGCATCAATTTATTAAATGGACGCATAAATGCAACATAGGAATAAATAGGCCAGTGTGCTGGTTTTCCATATAAAATTCTTCACACACTGGCCAAATGTAAGCCCACTCCCGGCTCCCACCAACGTGTATATTTAAGATCATCCCACATAGTACCACTTTTTCCATACAATGCACCTCAGTGAGTTGGACGATCTTGAGATGGGCTGACAGAATAGCAACGGTGGGCAATAAGGGGCCAACGAAATGCAGAAACTATAGGATTCAGGGTATAGTATTATCAGTAACAAGTGAGTCACATTATTATCTCAATTTGAAGGCTCACCTGAGAATTCTACGAAGTTGTCTGGTTCAGGGAAAAAAAAAAATCTCAAAAAAAAAGTGAGAGAGAGTAGGAACTATAGGAAAATGAGAAATGTTTTGTTATCATGGAAGTCAGGAAAAAACTTTTAAATACATTTTGAAAAAAATTTACTACTATTCATGTAGTAATTTGAGGTAGTTTTTCCTACACTTAGTAAATGAGAGTACCTAGACTACTACTACCACTACAAAAATATATGTGAAGTGAAAGGCAATTTCAACTAAGTCTAAATGTTATACTATATCAGGGTATGCAATAAACTAATTTTTAAATATAAACATAGTTCTGCAATTTTTTAAAAGAGAAAACCAGCTTCTCCCTGCTATGACAAAATGACTATTAAACAAATACTTGAAAAATATCCACTTGAGGGGCACCTGGCTGGCTCAGTTGGTACAGCATGGGACTCTTGATCTCAGGGTTGTGAGTGCAAGCCCCAGGCTGGATGTAGAAATTACCTAAAAATTAAAAATAAAAAACTTTTTTTTTAAAGATTTCATTTATTTGAGAGAGCATGAGCGGGGGGAGAAGGGGCAGAGGGAGAGGGAGAAGCAGGCTCCCCGCCGAGCAGAGAGCCCAATGTGGGTCTCAATCCCAGGACCCCGAGATCATGACCTGAGCCAAAGGCAGATGCTTAACAAACTGAGCCACCCGGGCGCCACCAAAAATTAAAAAAAAAAATCTTTAAAAAAAATAGCCACTTGAAGGTTGTCAAATTATGGCCCTGCTCCCAGAATCCTCCCCACGTGTCCTGGGTCCTGCCCTGAACTCAGCCCCATTTTATGAGCACAACCACACCAAACATCAATTCTGCTTCTCCCTCCTCTCCTTGCAAATTGCCCCGCTCATTGCTTGCTATTTCTGTGTCTTGCTTCTCCTATTTCGAAAGCAGAAAAGTCTCTTTCCTTTCCAAACTGTTTCTTCCTCAGCTCCCACACATAATTTTGGTTTTATCAATCCCTTGCCTCTTTGGTCTACCATTCTGTACTTAAGTACTCCCTTCTGAGCATCACCCACCAGGGCTTGAGTCTCCATAACCCTAACACACCCATTTTTTCCTCCAGAGCACTGTGCCTTAGCAGCCTCTTTCTGTTCTGCACGGCATCGACAAACTTTCAAAGGAACAGTCTAGATTTCCTTACCACTTCCACATGCTTTAAGCAAAAATGCAACCAAGCAGCAAGTATGGGAGCATGAGGCTGAGTGCATCTGAAGCAACCTGATACGGGCAGCCCCCCACTTCCCACCATAGCCCTGATACAGGGGCTCCAGCAAATATCCAGCCTGAGAGGAAGGAGGGCCCTGGGTCGCCACATCGCTTAGGTTTGGAATTTTGAATTTTCATGTGAACGCTAATAATGGTGAAATAGTAGCAATTTATTTGACTTTTTAAATCATGAGGAACAAGTAAAATACCTCTTTGGGTTGCATCCCGCCTACGGCCCTGAAATTTGCAAACTATTCTCTGAAACCTTTGGCTTCCTTCACCCAACTTTCCAAAACCAGTTTTCTTAGAAGTCATCAGCGACCCCTCAGCTGCCATAAAAGAAGGCCTTTCTCACTCCCTTTCCTGAACTCTCTCTCTGGGAGGGTGGGCACGTTCTATCACAAACCCCCGTGGTAAACTGCCGTAGCTAAGACTCTGTGCCTCCACCCTCTCCTCAGGGTTCTTGTCTTGTCTCCTCTGAGGTTCATCTTGCTTGATCATTTTCTTTTTTGCTTTTTCAAAAACCTCTAATTGCAGCGATCATCTAGCCTCTGGGCTTCAACTATTCCCACTACAGAGCTCCCCCCACTAAAAATCTTCAGTTTCTCTCATTAACCCCATTCTCAAACTCCTATGTATTGGATTCAAGAACCCCCCAAAACACCCTGTGCTGACTCCACCTCTTCCTCAGCGCCACTGCCACCAAATCCACCAGCCGACCAGCCTCACAGCTTCACCAACTGCTTCCTCTCTGCTGACAGCCAACCAGCCATCTCTTCTCCTCTGTGCCCTTTGCAAAATGTATCATGAATATTTCTTCTTCTCCTTTCTTTCTCCTGGACTCTCATTAGCTCTCAGCTGGATGACTAATCCCAGAGCCTGAAACCCCGTCTCCCAGGCCCAGCTCCTTCACTGCTTACTTCCACTGTGGTGCCAGATTCAGGCTCCGGAAGGCGTCAAGTCCTGCCACTCCTCGGCTCACAACTAAATGGCTCCCCGCTACTGACCAAACTGGAACTCAAGACCCTCTGCCAGCTGACCCCCCCCCACTCTTGTCAGCCTATCTGCCTCCCATCCATTTCAAATGCCAAGCATTTCAACCAAACTGCCTCATCTGTTTCCCAAACACACGTCACTCTCTTTGCTTAAGCCACTCATTGTCCGCCCTTTCCTCTATCAAAATCCTAAACGGCAAGCAAAGCACTTTTTTAAAGGTCCCAAATGCCTCCTGACTAATGCAACCCTCCTCTTCTCTGAAACTTTATAATCCTGTATCTATTCCTCTGGCAGGACTTAGCACACTAGAGCCTCCATTAGAGTTCACGGTTGCTTATGTGTTGTCTCCAAGACAGTGGGCTCCTCGGTGTGGCAGGCTTGGGTCTCATTTGCCCTGGACCCCTCACCACACTAGCACAGTAATGTCCGCCGATGTATGTGAGGACCAGGTGACCGAGCCAATCTTCTGTCTGTACTGGTGATAACAATCACATCATAGGTTTTCACCACCTGGGGTTGAGTCTAGTCGTAGGAGAAAGTGAGGCGGACTTCTCTTGCAGGCTGAGACAATCTTGGAATTAGAGTGATGCATACATTGCAAGGGAGTTACAGGTGCAACACTGCACATTTAAACTTGACAATGATTCATGTCAAGTGAACTTTCACTGCTATTTCTAATTCTTCTTCCAATCTGATATTACAGCTACTGCTTAGTCACCAGGACAGCACGCTCCTTTGCATCAAAACCACCCTCCTCAAAAATCCCCCCTGCCATCCCGCCCCTGATACTCCATCCACATCTGATCCACCATGCTGTCTGGACTACAAAGTTTCATTTCATTCTCCTTCAAAATAAATGTGGTATGTTTTTAATGGAAACAGGAATACATCACACATGGTTAAAAAATAATTCAAGCAAACAAAAGTTCTGAATGAAGTACTGAATGAAAAGTCTCCTTCCCAAAACCATACTTCCTCAGCTGAGGAATCTCTCAGTCTCCTAAAGGGCAGCCACTATACCATTTTTGGGATACCCTTCCAGAAGTTTTCCCTCCCCTGAAAATATATAGAAAATAAACTAACTTTTTCACAGGAACATGAGAACACAATGCATACTCTTGTGCAACGTGATTTTTGTTCTTACCATACTCAGTAACTTGTAAATCTAAGTTAATACATGCAAAGCCCTTAGAATGGTTCCTGGCCCACAGTAAGTGCTAAGTAATTTTCAGGTGGAGTGTATCAGAGGACATCCCAGCACTCAAGAGTTTATACCAATTAGACCCTAGAAGCACACAAATAAACGCTGGGATTCCGCTGGACAAGAGCTCAGAGGTGCTTCTCCCCACGCACATTCCGAGAGACAGGCTCCCTGCAGACTTGGCTATTACCTCTCCCCCTGGTGTGGCATTTGGAGGAAATGGTGGCCCCAGAGCTCACACTTCCTAAATAAAATCACACCTACCTCCCACTGATCCCACCAAGTCTAAACAATACACAGAGGAGTAAAGGCTTCCTAAAGGGTTTTTGCTGCAACCACTTTCAAAACACAGAGAAAAACACTTTCTTGCACTTAAACTTGATTACACGGTAAGGAAGGATATATTCAGCCAGGTATGATTAGCTGTGTGGAATCAGCACCCCGAAAATTCTGCCCGAGCTGGCTCAGCTCTGCACTAGGTCACGGGGTGTTTCTAGAAAGTCAGGTGGAGTCCCT